CCTGCATTTGCTAACAAGCAAGCCTCTATTGTTTACCAAAAGGATGTTATTGAGGATCACAAGCCTGGATATTTAAACCTCTCAAGTGTACGCCAGCATGAATTTACTGTCCCTAAAGGCAATTTATTCACTGAGAATCCCATGCTCTTTGAAATAATTCTACTCCTTATGGCACCATGTTTTTTTTCTCTAAAAGAAACCCAAAGTCTGTGACAATTCAGCCCCACTGGAGGAGGACTGTCATGGAAATCTGCTTGTTCTAAACAAGAAATTAATATATTTGTATGTTAGTGAGTAACTGAGACAGGTGAGGGGCCAGACTTTCTTAACCAGAAGTTACGAGTTCATGGCTGAAGTCTCTCAAAGACCCTGAGTAGGAAGAAGCCTCAAAAGCAAGTAGATAAAGTACTGGGTGAGTTCTGGCCCTGAACCTCACAAAAATGAGCAGACTTGTATCAATGACTTTTTTTTTTCTTTTCTGGAATTTCTAGCTCAAAGCTAAACCCAGGCGATGCTTCTGGTTTCATGAAGACCAATGACCAAGGAAAGGAGGAACAGCCTATCCAGATAAATCAGAGGCTGGCAAGACAACTGATTTTATCACCCCCAAGCATTCATCAATTCATAAATTGACTTAAATACACTGTGTATTTCTCTTTCTCCCTACTCCCATGAGGACCAGAAACATTTTAATGCTGAAATACTTACAAACTCTATCAAAGTGGGGTCTTTAAAATAAAACAAAGAGCATTCATTCCAAATAAAATTGCACTGACAAATCTGGCTTAACCCAGCACAATGCTTCCAAGAACCTCTAAATACGACTGTACTGAACTTAGAAGCAAACTTCTATGAGCAATATGAAAATCTTACCTAGATATCCAATTTAAAACTGTTTTGTTGAAGTATAAAGAAGCCATGTTGGAGGAATTAAACACAGTTGTTACTTAGAGTCTATATGTGTGCTCTATTTCCCTTATTCTAAATTGAGATTGGGAGGATTGTTCATTTATTTATCTTTTTTCCTCATTTTGTGAAGGTTTTTTAGCTACTTGGCCACAGTGATGACAGGTTACAGAGGTCACTGCTTAAAGCAGTTAGTGGATGATGCAGGCACTGAGAGGCTAGTAGGGTTCTGGTGAAAAGGAGAGCACAGCATAGATGTAAGAAAAAAAGAAAAAAGAACAAATACAATGTAGAGTCAAAAAGTCTGTAATTAAAAGTGGGTATTTCTGTAGTAGAACAAAAAATCAATATTCTTATAGCTCCTTTAAATGTGTATAAAGTATCTTCCTAAATGGAATATTCAGTATTTATTTAAATGCAGACATACACACACACCAGTCCTAATCCCAACATAAAGCAGTTTAGAATGTAAGTTTAGCTATAAACTGTTTTATACCAACAGAAGATAGGGGCTGTTTTCTCCCCTAAAACTATTTATCTAAAATACTTCAGCCTATACCTAATTAAACAGATGAATAAATCCAATTGAAGTCAAAGAAGCTACTGATGTGATTAAAGAAGATACACACTTAAATTCTATTTGGAGTTTAGATCCAAAAGCTTAACTCCAGCCCCATTCAACAATACATTTAGGCAACTTTAGACACTTGCTTAAATCAATAGGATTAGATGTTTGCTTGAAGTTACACATGAATTTAAATGCTATACTAAGTAGGAAAGTACTTATGTAATAAATTAGCTTTGATGGGAATTTTCTAATTATTCTCTAAGAATGTTGTTAAGGATCTGAAATATGTTCATTTTTCCATTAAGTTTTTAACCCTCTTCTAGAAAAGAGAAAATATTTTCAGTTTTAACTTTCTATCCCATTACCTTACCTTCTGCCATCTTCTTTCTACCAGGAAAAAAAAAAAAAAAAAGTGGCAGAAAAGGAAGGAAAGTATTTTTTCATTCTTTGGGGGAGAGGAACATCAAGTTTTAATATATTGGGGTTTTATTTTTTAATAAAAGCTAGAAAATTTTAAATTTATTGACTCAATGCAAAACCAAACAATACTTTAATTTAATTCATACTTTTCTAACTGGGCCAGATGAACACAAGACTTGTAGAAGGTTTTCACTGAAGTGTACAATGAGCTTTGAGGTAATTTTTTCCTGACACGAATGTCTGTAACTTCATACTGATTTACCTTTTTTTTCACTGTTTGAGGCTGAACAGGTATGATAAATCTAAGACCAAGAGAAGAAACAAGCCAGCATTTGTATTAAGAAACATTTTTATTAACAAAACAGTAAATTCCACTTGCTTAGCATTTCCAATAATGAATAAATTGGCCTTGCAACAAATAAAAAAATTGTAAATATCTATCACATAAAGCACTATAAGGTTAGGGGCATTGGGCCTCTCTTCGATGTCCTAGGGTTGAAAGTTTCACACATTATTTAGTGTTTTGTTAAAAAAGGCAACACAATACAGTCATAGAAATGAAGCCATCTCAGTCAAACAAATTAGGTTTATAGAGAAAGGATCCAATTTTATGTTAGGTAGTTGGTTTATGTCTGTTTGTTTGTTGTTGCTGTTGATTTTAAACAAAAAGGAATTTTAAATCCACTTGCTGGCACTTCTGATACATCCATATCGTTTTTTGCTAAATTATGAAATTAAAGAGGAAAGAGGAGAACCTTCAGAAACAGTGTTAAAATCATGTTTGCTTATAGTAGTAGCAGATTTTTTTTTCCTTGATGTATGGATTTAATTAAAGATTAATCTACCAAACTGCCTGGAAGTTGACCTGACCATCCTACTTCATCAGTGTGATCAATACCAAGCAGAAAAGACCATTTCAGCTCGCCAAACCATATTCTGTCACGTCCAGTCTCCTGTCATCAGATTATTCTTGTTCTTCTGTGTATCTTCAAGTACTGAAATCTGAATACCACCTGGCTTTCAACTTCTTCTTCCCCTCCTCCAGCTGAAGTCTCTTGCTTCCAGCAATGACCTCTGATGTACCTGACCCTGCCGTTCCCTGAGTACAGCTGTCTTGTAAAGTTGGGAGAAATTTTGAGTGCCACAGGTGAACCACAATTGAAGAAATTAACATAGGATGGATTTTGTAAACCGGTTCTCATTTCTGTCTAAATGCTAATGAAAATAAAACAAATGTTTCATAAATGCAACATGATACACCTCAATGTAGTTGGCAACCTTCAAGAGAGGTGTTTTCATGTCAGCTACATGTATTTTTAAAGTGCTCTGACTCCCAGATAGATAGCTGTACCAGTTTCCAGCCTTTTTCATCAGCTACAGTGAATAACACACAAGAAAATATTTTGTGCCTGCTGTTTAAAGCTAATTTTAAATTCCTCCCTCCTGCCTGTAAAGTGTGAACACCTATATCTCTCCCAGGAGGCCTTCCAATGATTTAGTTGATTTCTATTGAACTACCCTCTTTCTGTCTAACACATTTCCTTTGAACTTCTGTGTAAAGAAAATGTTACACTGTGATTTATTGCTGTGAACCTAATGAAATAATACTAGAAAAAAAAATATGTAAATACCAGCATTATATTTAATATGTTTAACTAAAATGCATTAATGTTTTATATGTGTAAGAAAAGCTATGTGTTATTTTAAAACATGATGAACTTATATTTGTCTGGTTATGATGTCTTGCAACACTACACAATCAACTTAGCTAAAAATACTTTTTCATATGTCAAAATGCCCACCATTGAAAAATACTATCGTGCACCTCAAGATTGCTTCTCTTTTGGAGAAAGGGGTAAATTCTGCAGTAAAATCAGCCTGGATAATGAAAATTAGTTTTTTTAGATCTTTTACCACCCAAGCTGTAGTAGCTGTCGTTTGTATAACTGAATGCCAGATAAATGCTATATGATACTTCCTAAGAATTAGTATAATAATTTCCTAAGAACAAGGTTTCTGAAAGGCAAACCATGCTCTCCAATAGTGAAGCTCTGACTGGAAGCCAAAGGCCAGTTTCAGTCACTAAATATTTATCTAATTAATGAAGGTGTATTTCGAGGAAAATTGGCCATTCTGATCAACTTCATTGATGCATATCAGGAGCAAGAGATGGGGGGAGATGACAAATTACAGCAGAGATATATTTTTGCTTTCTAGTCCACTTCTTTCATACAAACTACTAAAACTTAATTGCAACATAATAGAGGCTGTACAGGTAAGAAAAAAATTAGCTGACTCTTATATACATTCATACACACCCCCCTTAGTATAACCACTACACTGTAAATTAAAAAAAAAAAAAAAAGAAAAAAAGAAAAAAAGAAAAAGAAAGAAGAAAAATTAAAAAAGGGGAAGAAGTCTGGGACAATTTATAATGGCTGCAAAAAAACGGAAGTATGTCTGTTGCTCCAGATGTCATAAAACTCTCTATACCTAGCAACACTTATAACATTGAGTTTACCAAAAATGGCTGAAGAGCAGATATAGTTTGCATTTTCTATACAACAGGCTATAAAACATCACTTATCACAGTCCAGAAAGCACATATAGATGTGTTTTTATATAAACATATGTAATAACATATTAAGCGTGCATGAAAATTTCCCAATGATTGCATCTATGCCCTCTTGTTTGTTTTTATTCTCTCTTTCTTTTTTTTCTCATTTTTCTTTTTAAATTTTTTTTATTAATTTTATTTTGTGGAAATTTGCCTTATATTCCAGATTTTTGTTTTTGTTTTTGAAAATAAGGCCTCAGTACTATTTTTCTCACAACCAGAAAGGGGCTTTTTGAAAGTATTTCTACATAAGTCTTCAGAAAAGCCAGCACTTTGTTTCAAATGCAAGTTTCCAATCACTGCTTCACTGCACCAGATGGCAAACTCTTTTATGCTTGCTTCTTGAGTCACCATATATAATGACAGTCTTCTCTGACAATAAGACTAACTTACTTCTCAAGAAAGCGCTAGCACTTTGGCTAAATCCAGAATCATAGGTAGCTTCTTTATTCTTTCTTTCTTTTTTTTTTTTTTTTTTTTTTTTCCCCCCTGTTTTGTTTTGTTTTTAATTTGTTTTGTTTCATATTGTGCCTTGATGTTGTAGTAATACTCCTTGCTTTATGAATGCGTGGTGTCATCATTGTCTTTCAGAAATGTTCCAGCAACATAAAGACAGGCAGAGTAAATGAAAACACTGTGGATGTTAGGGAATTTATCAGCTCCTGTTTGTGAAAAACAAGAGCATGAAATGCTTGTTTTTAAAAACAGTCTTTCCTTTCTGATTGCATTCCCTGTCTTGTTTGTTTGTCTGTTTTTGAATGTGCTTCATAAAAAGTAAAATAAATAAGTTTGTATTATGTCTCAGATAAAATGAAGACTATTTCTATACAAGCGTTCTCTCAGGTGTTGAGATCAGACATAGTACTCCTTATCCTTATTTTTCTTGTTTTTGTTGGAACTTTTAGCGCTGTTGGGCTGTTTTTCCTTGATCACAGCCCCATTGGATTGTGCTGAGTTACTGATGTAGTTTCGACTCTCATCTACGTGGTACGATCCTTCGTCTCGATTCCTGTACTTGTACATAGCATACAGGAGGATGAGGATACACAGCGCTGCTGCTGCCACGATCCCAACTACCATGCCTGTGGTGCTGCTGGATTCACGAATCACCTCAGACGAGCCGGGATACTCCCTTCCTCCTCCTGCCCTGGTAGGATTTGCTGTAGGTAGATAATGAAATAAGGGAGAGGTTATTATTGAGTTTGAACATGGAGCTACTCATATCTACCTGCTACAAACATGCACCTTTCTAATAGCACTTGCTAGGTCAGGACTGCCTAGCAAAATACCCTACTCTACAGGACCAAAAACATGTAGGTTTGCAGCCCGTTCCATTTTTATGTCTGTCCTCACAAGTAAGCAGGCTTTTAAACAAGGCAAAGGAGAGGGAAAATCTCACTTCAGCCTTCAGAAGTATTTCTCCAAAGGCTGTGATTAAGTAAAGAATGCCTAAGTAATCTGAAATAATATGCATGCCACAATTTAAACTGCCAGAATACAAACATCTGGGAGGTTAGGATCTCCCACTCCCTCCCTCTCTCTTTCTCTCCTTCTGTAAATAAAATAAAGTGACTCTATAGTACTTACTGAGGAGACAGTGATGACAAGATAGACTACCAAACAGAAGGGGGGGAGGGCGATCCAAAGTCCCCCAAATTATAAATGATAGCAGCCAATAAACAGGCTACAAACAAGGTACCCTCAGCTCTTCTTTAGATTTTCCTCAGCAAGCTTCTCAATTTCTCCTCTCTAATATTTTCTGATTATTGTTTTCAAAATCAATTCTATATACTCTTCATACTTTTAGACAACTATCATAGAATCACAGAATGGTTAAGGTTGAAAGTGACCTTAAAGATCATCAGGTTCCAACCTCCCCGCCATGAGCAGGGACACCTCACACTAGACCAGGCTGCACAAAGTCTCATCCAACCTGGCCTGAAACACCTCCAGGGAGGGGGCATCAACAACCTCACTAGGCAACCTATTTCAGCACCTTACTAACATCATGGTGAAGAATTTCTTCCTGATGTCTAACTGAAATCTCCCCTCTTTCAGTTTAAAACCAATACCCCTTGTCCTATCACTGCCTCCTCTAGTGAAAAGCCCCTCCTTAGCTTTCCTGTAGGCCTCTTCAGGTACTGGAAGGCCATTATAAGGTCTCCCCAGAGCCTTCTCTTCTTCAAGCTGAACAACCCCACTCTCTCAGCCTGTCTTCACAGCAGAGGTGCTCCAGCCCTTTGGTCATCTTCACAGCCCTTCCCTGGACCCTCTCCAACAGCTCCATGTCTTTCCTGTGCTGAGGGCTCCAGAGCTGTACACAGTAATGTCGAAGCCTACCTTCCCTTTTTTAATATAGAGTTGTCTTTGAATATATGGCTACACTTCAGAGCATTTTCCCATTAGCTCTTTTTGTCATCAATGCCAATACCAGGCATTCCTTCAAGCAATGCTTTATGTCCCCAGAATACCTGCCAACTTCCATAGAGCAAGGACTCAGCCTGCTAAGAACACACCTCTCAGGCCAGTCTTTTCAGTTGTGATATGAACTGAACTGACCCATCATTAGACTATAAAGTCTTCTTGATAGGAACTATTGTGTTGTCTGTCACGTATTGTCCTCTTGCACAGTCATGTGGAATGAAAGCCTAATTCCAGGAGGAATTTCTAGGTTAAATGCTCCAAGTGCACATAATGCTTATGCATTTCCCATTATCTCCTTTCTTTATTGCATTTTGCCAAAGGAGAGGAGGCAGATCTTTGTAAAAAGTCACTTTAAGTGGCAATAGGTAAAATGGATCTTCTGCTGTAACTTAGCAAGTGTCATGGACAAAAATGAAGTGACCTGGGTCTATGCAATATTCCTCTTATTATAGTAGCATTTCCAAAATCCTGAGAGACTGTGCACCCTCAGCACTGCTAGCAAGAAAAGAGCAGTGAGTGAACAAGGGCTTCCCACCAGCACACTCTCATTAAGTATCCAGGCTGGCTTGTGGAAACTGTATTTTAGATCATTATGCATGGCTAAAAATACAGTCAGTGAAGTATAAATTTTAACTGAGAGTATTATTAAACACTGGTTTTAAAATATATTCCTAATGTTAGCTTTATCAGACCTTGCATAGAACTAGCATTTTATTGAAGTGTATTAGAGAACTGACTTCCTTAAGCTGCATGAAAGCACTATGTCCCACAGTCACTTTGGACAACCAGAATTAAAAATAGACACCATCTACAGTTGGCCCATGAATAATAAAACAAAGCAAATAAGCCACAAACCCCCAAAAGAATGAAGTTCCCTCCCCAATTTGGAATTACTCGTCATTTATTTATTGGTAATTTGTGTTCTTGCTTTTGAAACACCACTTCCTGGCAGTTATCCCACATAGGTTTAAAGAAGATGACATTTTATTTGAAAGAAAGAACAGAGGCACCACAGTAAGACTCAAGAAAACTGTCTCTTGTGTCAAATAGGATTTTAACTTATTTTTTTTCCCCCTCTCTGAAAGTTCTTACTTGTTATGAGTTGGCACAATTGATATTTTCTACGACTACAAAAGAGATCTTGAAGTTTCACTTCAGAAGGCTGTAAGGTTTTTTCTCATTTCAGGTGGATACCACCATACTAAGAAATGCAGTCTCAAAGTAGTCAGTGACTGTTTTAGATCCTGTTTCTTCCCTTTAGCTATTGCAGAAAAATGGAAATGCTTTTACATGTATCGTTTTACAAGAGACAATGCATTGTTGCAGAATAAAGACTCCTGAGTATTTCCAGAGTGAATGAAAATGAGATGAAACCTTACTGAACGTGATTTCAGGAAATTAGTTTCTCTCTGAGGAATAACAGAAGTAGCTGAATAAACTCTGTCAATACCTGATGGATTAACAGCTGCTCTTTCTCTTTAAAAGACAGACATTTGGGCCAAATGCCATCAACTAACTTCACAATAAATGTCTATTAGATGACGCTTAATAACTTGCTCAGAGGAAAACATTATTTTAACACTGCAACCTAAAAAAACATGTAAGGAATATCTTTCAATATTATCTAAACTCCTGCCTTTCTCCTGATGGCATTCTTTTTTTTTTTTTTTTTTTAAGAATGTTTTCACAATTATCTCATTTATCCCATCTGTCTGAGGAATATTGAACCACTACATTGATGTTATTTAAACTTAGAACATTTTCAAGCATCTGTTGTTACATTTGTTTGGACTTCAGTAAAAGGAGCAGTTCAGCAAGGGAAATGAGTTCTTGCTATTATTCTTCCTTTTACATTAAAATAAGCTTTTAACCTAGCTGGGCCTCTGAAGACAAAAGAAATAGAAGGAAATAATGGGCACGTTTTACAAAGCACATGGGTTTATCTATGAGCATTGTAGGTAGGAATGGCATGCACAGCACGTGCTAAGGCAGGTCTCCTGTTCTGAGACAGGGCAGAAGAGGCCACTGTGAAAAGGCCAGCCTACCCTTCTTCTGAAATCTATGTAAATAAATACATCTCCATTAATAATATTGCTGAAACGGTTGTCATCTATTTAAGTAGGACCTTTATTTGACTAAGACTGGACTGCCCAAAAGGAATTTACCCAGATTTTTTTCCCCTGCAAGTCAGGAACTATTGCAAAGAACAACAGATGATCTCAGCAGAAAGCAAGTGAAGCTTATAAGGTTACAGAAATCTTGCTCTCTGCTTCCCAGCTTTTTAAGATGCACATGGTGCAGTTTTCTTCCCAGCATCTTGGTAACTGAACCAGGCAGAGTGATTGGTTCCTGGCACAGAAGCAGAGGTGTGTTGATGGGTAACCTTGTCTGCCACTCAGTTGCAGTCTCTGCAGCATCAAAAAGATACTAACTTTGTCCTGGATAAAGATTTGTGTTGTAAATGAGAAGTGAAATACGTTATACATGAATGGTAAGACTAAATGTAATAAAAAATAACCTGATTTTTGAGAAAAAAAAAAATCTCCAAAAAATGCTGAAACAATCGATAATAAGTTGAGGATGGTTTGATTAGGAACAAGATAAAACCTTAGAGTGTGATTATGCTCTGACCATGCCATAACAGAGAGAAGAAATAAAAGTCACCTTGTAGTGCAATCATCCCTTCTTAAAACAACTTCTCTGACGCACAACTCTTCCTCTCAACAGCATACGATCACCATTTCTGGATTGCCTCAAAAAACAGCTTAGAAGAGGCTGATTTTTAAAAGCCTCTTCTACCACTTCTGAAAAACTTTGCATGAAATAATAGCAATTGAACACAGTTTTATATTGTGTAATAATGGATTAGAAAGTTATTATTCTTCACTGTATTTGTAAATGGTTTAAAATTTAGAGGGAAAAATCTTACTATTTTCAGTGCCCAGTTTTCATTAATACTGTGAAAAGAAAATTGGAATTGCAGGCTCCCATGGTGTTTGTGAATTGAAATTAGCAGACTTAAAAACAAAACAAAAAAAACAACAAAAGGACCTCAAACCTGTTTTCTTTACATTTATGCCTTCCCACAAACTGTGAATAGGAAATTACTCACAAGACAAGAATGTTTAACTACTGCATTTGCAATGAGGCATGAAGGCAATTCTTTACAGGACATACTAATTTTCACTCTGTGTGCTATCATTGTAGATCTGCTTGAGGTTGACTTTCTGCAGCACTGTTGGATTCTGGTGAACTAGTTTCTGAGCTTACTGTAATTTCAGTGTCTAATTACAATGAATATGTCTGAAAAACAAATCAGTGCTTCCTGTGCTGAACTGGTCGGATAGACACAGCCCAGCTGCAAAACCAGGATGAGGATCTGCTGTAAGCTTGTTGCAAGAGACTAAGCTCAAACCCACCCCAGTCTGAATACAGCAGTATCTCAGCCTGCTCCATTCCTACCCAGCCTCAAGTGGCTCTTGAGGAAAGGCAAGAACTGGCTCCCAAAGTGACTGAGCTGCCATGGGAGGGAAA